ACGGTTTTATGTTGTAATGATTGGATGGATAGATGGATGGATGGATAAATGGATGGCCTTATTGTACCACCTCCGTTGTTGTTCGTTTGAATGTAACGGGGTTTGTGTAATGATGGATGGGTGTTGAGGTGTGTTTGCTAGGGGTATCAGGTAGTAGTGAGTGGAGTGAGGAGTGAGTGTAGGTAAGGTAGGTGATGTACGAGAAGGCAGTTGGTATTATAGGTGAGTAATAGAGGGAGATTATAATGAGTAATAAATAAATGATTCATACTTATTATCTAAGTTAGTATCTACCTATTAGGCATCTATAGAAGTTAAATTTTATAATGTTGAATATATGTTTATATCCTCGAGTCTTTTCATATCAATCTTTATATTCACTTTATTTACTTCATTCAAACCTCTCTACCTCGTGCCTATCTAGATAACGATCACGCGATCTAGTCTTATTTGATTCAGATACTAACACCTATACTCATAAGGTAAGTGAATGAAAGATAATATGGAGTTATGTTGAGTGATGATGATATCTCAATGATGTTCATATTCTCCTCATTCTCTTGCTCATCCATGTAATTTTTATAGTAAGGTTAGCATCTTTATCCCGCTTCATTGACCAATCATTGTTCACTCACTTACAGAACAGACATCCAGAACAAGAACAAGCTGATCACACATATAAAAAGTCCCCCCCTTCTCCTCCTTTGTCAAAAAAACCACTTGGTTGGGTGTGTGTCTTAACTTTAGCGGTAAAAAGGTATCTTGTCTTCCTACATACAAAACCAATACAGCCTTCTTGTGTTCTTACCCTTCGAATTCGACATTTATTCAAGCCTTGTTGCCTTGTCGCCTTGTTGCCTTATTTTAACACAGGCATAGCAAGGTCAGCCAAATATCTACACCCACCCTTTATTATACACAGTAAGCTTCCCTAACTCCACAGTAGTCGCGTTCGTGCGATTGATATGAACATATAAAGTCAACAAACGTTTCAACTTCAGAGCTCCAAAATCTACCATACCGCTTACTTTCCAACACTTGAACTCCCAATCTCCAATTTTCTCAATCGCAACAACTTCAAATTCTTTCGCAAATATTATAGAGCTTCATATCGACAAGAAAAAACAATTCAAATAAACCCCCCAAAGAATTCCTAATTGGAAAAAAAAAGGTATACATTTAAAAGATCGCAAAATCAAGAAACCCATCATTCATCCCCGCCCATTTGGGTGGTTACCTCAACCTTCTTTGTGGCTTACAAGCTTGAATAAGGAAGAAGTGGTGCACATGGAATCTCACAATGCTGAACAACTCCACGCGATATCTATGAGAGCTTTTAAGGAGCTTAAATTGAATTCGTACGTCTTTCAACAGCTTGTAGATATCTATTGTATCTATTCTCGAAGCTTGCTTTAAGCTTCACCGGATTGTCCTGGAATTATATTGCGCTTTGCGACGGCCTTTCACAAGGTGCTGTGGCTTGCTCCTTGTCATATGCGACTTGCGATATGGATGCGATTCAACTTCTCATCCAGCTTTCTTTCATCTGCGCGCGCACTCTACTCCTTTACCATGTTAAGCTCAGTTACTGACGATTCATCTTTTAACAAATAGAACCGACCCACCCGGGATCGCATGATCACACATCCAACGACAGCTTTGCGAAGGAGGATATCAAAATGGGAAAGACATTAAACTTAGGTCCGAATTTAAGGTACCCAATTACAATCACCAAGTTATTCAAGAAACATGGCGATCAGATTTCGAAACGGGACTCCCTCCTCGAATATAAATACCATTGGAAGCTAATGGTCGGTGATCCATTGGGCGAACAATGGGAAGAAGAACAAACATCGTATGGGGCATGGGACAGTCCTTCTGACGGTACTATCGAGAAATGGTTAGTCAAAGAAGGAATGACAATTGAGAGCGATGGACCTGTCGTCGATGTTGAAGAAAGTTGTTCGCATGCTGTCCAGTATGCGGGACTTTGTGGCATGTGTGGAAAGGATATGACCGAGGTCTCTTGGGCCACCAGTACACTCGATACAGACCGAGCTAGAATCAATATGATTCACGACCAAACACACCTCACAGTTAGTCTTGACGAGGCTTCGAAAGCAGAAGAAGAGTTACAACGGCGGCTACTTAAGAATCGAAAACTTTCATTGGTGGTGGATCTGGATCAGACCATTATCCATGCTTGTATTGAACCTACTGTTGGCGAATGGCAACGCGATGTCAATTCGCCCAACTACGAGGCCGTCAAAGATGTGCGATCCTTCCAACTCAATGATGATGGACCTCGCGGTCTCGCATCCGGTTGTTGGTATTACATTAAAATGCGGCCTGGACTTGCGGAGTTTCTCTCAAAAGTCTCCGAAATGTATGAGCTACACGTTTATACTATGGGTACTCGAGCATACGCATTAAATATTGCAAAGATCGTCGACCCTGGAAAGAAACTATTTGGTGATCGTATCATCAGTCGAGACGAGAACGGAAACGTCACGGCAAAGAGTCTGGCTAGACTATTCCCTCAGAGCACGCACATGGTGGCAATTATTGATGATCGCGCAGACGTTTGGCCAATGAATCGTCCTAATCTTATCAAGGTTGTTCCTTATGATTTCTTCACTGGTATCGGGGATATCAATTCGAGTTTCCTCCCAAAGAGAGAAGAGCTTCCTAAAATATCAACACCCAAAAAGAAACATCACTTAAAGCCGGAGACCAGCACACTTGAGACGGTCGAAACGCCTATCGGCGAAGTCGCAAACGCTACAGAACCTGAAGGAGGTGAAACTAAATCTGCCGAAGAAACCAAGGAGGAACCAGCAACTGAAAAACCACTTCTACCAAAAATTAACACCTTGGACGACGAGGCCTCATTACTAGAACAAGCAGCGGAGCAAGAGAAATTTTTGGAGCAACAATTAAGGGATCGTCCTTTGCTCCATAAACAAGAGGAACTTGACGAAGCCGACAAAAAACAAGAAGAAGCGGAAAAGGCGGTTGAAGATGGTACTGTAGAACATCACGCTCATCGACACAGTGTTCTTAAGGATGACGACGTCGAATTGACTTATCTTCAACAACATCTTACAGATTTGCACAGAGCTTTTTACGAAGAATACGATAAAGCTTTGGTCAATGTTCCAGGTGGACGAGTTGCACAATTAAAACCCGGACATCAAAGAAAGGTTAACGTCAAAAATGAAGCTGCCGATCTGAAAGTAGTACCTAATATTGCAGTTGTGATGCCGCGTCTCAAGTATGAATCCCCCTTTCAAAAAGCGATGCCACCCAGGATGATTTTGCTAACAAAATTTAGGTCTCAAGTCTTAGATGGATGTGTAATAGTAATGTCGGGTTTAGTTCCCTTAGGAGTTGACCTTATGAGGTTAGTTGATACCACCTATGATTCTATTTCGCAAGAAACTTTATTGTGTATATTCTCTAGCGTGTGGGGTTTAGAGAGGGCCAAGGGAAAATCCATACTAACCAAACTCAGATCTGAAATTGCTCAGCAGATAGAAAGCTTTGGTGGCAAAATTCATAAAAAGTATGTACTATCATGATATTTTGAAGAAGAGTCACTAACATATTGTAGGGTTTCAAAGAGAGTGACTCATGTTGTTGCCTCGTCACAGAAAACTCGTACACAAAAAGTTCGAGAAGCGGCAAAATATCCTCACATAAAAATAGTCACACAACAATGGTTGACTCAGTCGATGAGCAAGTGGAAGAAGGAAAATGAATCAGAGTATCTGGTAGGTTAAACTCTCCATTATTTTCTTATGAGCAATATTAATACATCCATTAGGTGGAAATCAATCCAGCTGATAGAAGACAAAGTGGTGATTTGACTAATGTTCCATCTCCTGGTGAAGATAGTGAGGAATCCTCAGACTACACCGAGAGTGAAGATTTTGAAGATGACGACTCAAGATCTGAGCTAGACGGAGAAGGTGTCATGCCGGATGAGCCACGAGGCGACATCTCTCCAACGACGGATCTCAATTGGTCATCAATCGATGACGAATTAGCCGAATTTATGGGTGATGATGAATCTGGTACAGAAAGCGACACAAGTTTCACCAGTAATAACAGTAACAACAGTCGAACATCGCGAACAAGTTCAAGAAGAGGACATAAAAGAAGATTCGACGATGCGACGGACGAAGATGAAAGTGAAGACGAAAGTACTATGGCAAAAAAGCAGCGAGTAGCTAATTCAAGAACAACGGGTTTGAAAACTGTAAAAACGTCGAATAGTACAACGGAATCGAGTCTTCTTACCCCGGGGGTTACGGGGGATGAAAATGACGAGGTTAATCAAGTTATGGCGGAGGAAAGTGATCATAGTTTTGAAGATGATCTGGAAGCCGAAATGCAGGCTGCTTTTGATCTGGAACTGGAGGAAGAAGCGGCTGCTGCTGCCGGTTGATTTTGCTATTTGCATTGCATTGCACCTGGGTCGAACTTTATCAAGAGTCCTTTGCTATTTGACATGAGGGGAGGAATTGCCCATGACGAGGAAAAGAGAACTCTTGTGTCTGCCATCATATCATTATGGAGCGTGGTTTATTTATTGCTTTCAAGGTGTTTTTGTGGATGGAATCTGGGAAATTGGGTGAATAGGAATGGCATGGTTGGGAATTGGGGTTGGGAGAATTGGAATTGGGATGGGGGTTTGGCGGGAAGGGATGGGATGGGATTGGTTTTGTGCATTATTTGGGCGTCTTTTGAAGATTGAAGGATTATTGAGTTCATGAGATTGAGATTAAGATGAGTTTTACGATGAAATGATTACGAGAGATTCGTATTTGACGACGACGATGAGGATTGATGTATTAGATGTACTCGAGAATAGTAAAACCTTGATGTTTATTGGTTACGAACGCTCAGACCAAGTCAATTGTGCCGGTGTGGATCTCGGGAGGACAGTGAGAACCAAGCCTTGGATTCAAGGCACGAATAAATTAGAGCTTGATTGAGCGATAACATTCAATCTCGAAAGCATACCACACGACATTGAACATCACAAACAGCTCAATTACGCCATATCGTGTATCCTATCCTGTGACGTCGCGACGAAGGGATAGAAGATCGAAAATAGAAGCAGGAAGAAAAATTTATCAGTTTGTGAAAAGGGAAATCAGCAAACATGCCTCAGGATATGCCGCCAAAGGGCGGGTATGAAGCCGTGCAGTATAAGGTGTGTGGTGGGATTTTTCTTTTTGTTTGTTTTGTTTTAGCATGTGTTTGTGGGAGGGAGATTGGGAAGGGAGATGGGGGAAGGGAGATTGGGGAAGGGAGGGGGGGACGGGGGATGGGGCATTGAGAAGCGGGGAGATGGATTGCAACGGGATAGATGATATTTCCGGAGGAGGAAGAGGAGAAGGAGAGGGGACTGTCTAGTTGCAAGAGGGAGGGAATGGATTAAGACGAGCACGACTATGAACACGATACGACCACGACGACCACGACGACGAGGATGAGGATGAGAATGAGAACGAAACGAAACGAAAACGAAGTAGAATACTGCCGGGATCGCGACTGTTATTTATTGAGAAATTGTGAGGGGGAGTGCTGAATAGAGTGTCGTCCGAATTGTGGATGGTGGTGTGTTAGGATGTGCTGCTGTGTTTAATAGTTGGCATTTGGGGTTTGTGTTGATCGTCGGGAGTGGGAGCTGGAGCCGGAGCTGGAGCTTGGGTGATGATGAATGATTAGATTGGATGGGACGGGATGGAAGTAACAACAACGATGGGGATGGAAGATGAGGAAGAACTGAAAAAATGTGGACGGAGAATACGCGGTGCGATGGAGGGGTAGGTGGGATAGATTTGTGGAATTGGGAAATTGAGGGTGATAGAGGAGTAGAGGATTGCTGTTAGATGCTTGATGTCTGTCAATGAGAATGGGGTGTTGGGTGTGGTGTCTAGCGAAGGAAGAAGAGTGGTGAAATCAGGACTGGTTTGATGGGATGGTATTAACCAAATAGTCAGCCTCCACGGCAGTGGCCCCCGGAGGGCCAGCGGAGCGTCATTCTTTTTGAGACTGCGAGATTTTCCAGAACCGATCTACGACGATTGATCTCCACACGCATATTACGATAACTTTTCGTCCTCATCCATGTCCTCGTCCTCGTCCTTATCTTCCACGGATCGCACATAAATAATTAGATATTTATATAGTCAGATGAATCGAGGGGCGGAAGGGAAGAGATTGTGGGGTGGAAAAGAGAAGGAAACACACGTAAAGTTCAAAAGAACAGCAAGCTGACATTTTGTGTCTGAAAATGATAGAGAAATCTTCCAGCTCGCGGTTTCAGACCCTCGGTTATGCTTTTGGCCATGGCTGGAGTTATGACATATGGATTCTGGAAAGTAGGAAAGGGAATTCGGGAGCAGAAGTATGTATCATTTATTTCTTTTTTTGTTTTAGAGTGTTGAGGATTGAGAGTGAGATTTATGTCTATGAGTATTTCAGTGGAAGCTCCTACTCCTGAGGGTACTGTTCGAATCTATGATATATCTTGAATGATTCAGAAGTACCGTCTGGAGAGCTTGGATATGACATCGAATTATACATTCAGAGATCAGGACGCCTTTTTCTCCTCACCGGATGATTCAAATATATAATTTACTAACAAACATAAAATAGTGAACTTGCCCGTGAAAAAATGTGGTCTAGAATCCACTTGATCCCACTTTTGACAGCGGAAACCGATCGTGACCTTGTCAGAAGACATTGGGCAGATTTGAAGAGAGAGAAGGAATTGTTGGGCAGTGAGACTAGTCCATATAACAGCGATAGGTATGTTTTTCCACATGGTTTTTCTAGTTTAGGGGGAGAGGTTACGGATGGAAAAGAGTGGAGGAGGAGGAGGGTCAAAAGAAAAAGGGTAAGAAAATGATGCTGATATTCTGAAATTATAGATACGTTAGACCTACATACGCAGTTACTCCTATTCAAGTCACTAAGGATTAGATTGGTGCGAAGGATGTCAGAGATGTTGAAATTTTGGGGAGGGGAACTTTTGTGAGTGCAGTGGGCTGAGAAGGACTGAGCTGAACCATTACTTTGTTTTTGTTCGATCTTTGGTCTACAGTCAAGGGTAAGCGAATAGGATGCATTCGGATGATGCGAATGGAATGTAGATAGGTGGTTGATGGATTTGGGAATCGTGGAAGGAAGAAGCAACAGAGAGGAGTAAAATAAAAATGATATATGAAAGTAAACATGAAACCCAATCACCGGTTTTTCTGGATGATTGATTGCTGTCAGTAGGTGTGAGGTCTGAAAAGTTGGAGAAGAGGGAGGGAGATGAAGGGGAGTGATTGTGGAAAGCTTCTAGATCATATCATCATGATAAATGGATTTTGAATTTGGATTAGATTGAACGATTTAGGAGTTCCGGGGAGAGAGTTCAAGAGATGGGGATGGAATGGGGTGGTGTCTAGAGGGGTAAGGGAGAAATGGAATTTCGAAATGGTGTGTTTGTTTGAGGATTTGAGATTAGATTATGGGGCTGCTTGATTGAGTTTGGTGTTGATGCTGAGTTAAGGGGAGAAGAATGGAAAGAGGAAAGGGGTATTTTTGTCTTTAGGGGGGTTGAGTTGGATAGATGTAGATGAGATTGTGTCGGAAACTTGGTGTTCTATGTGGAGGAAAGGGGGAGATGGGATGGGATGGGATGGGATGAGATAGAGTGGGATTTACAATTGTCACGTGCGGAGGGGTGGGAAGGGATATAGGTATTAGGTAGTGTAGATGATGGGTGGGAAGGGGGAAGGAAGGAAGGAGTGAGATGGGAAGATGGGGAGTGAAGGAGAAAAGAATTGATGATATGCTCCCGATTATTTTTAGAGCTTGTTAAGTAAGCTACGAAACTGTGTAAGATTAGATTCAATGAATCTTTGTGTAATATGATTTACTATCTAGTTGCTCTCCATCCTCTCCCCCAACCATCTCTTGTGGCAGTGGTGTAGATTTATGAGAGATGGGGGAGGATGAATAATACACCTCTAGAATTCCCTTTGTACTCGTAGAATCTTTCCGAATCTCTCGAGAATAGCGGCGCTTTGTGGGTTTTATTTATCTATCGACAGAGTGATTTTAAGTCTGAACACTTTTGCAATTTTGAAGTTGAGTTGAAGAAGAAGATTTCATATGCTAACACAACCAAGTATAGATAGAAGCTAGGTATATCCATAGCTGCGATCGAATTGGAGGGGTAGCGGGGTTATTGTGGTTGTACGAGGGATCAAGTTTGAGATATTACGAATAAATTAGAAGGGCGATAGATTCGGGAGTAGATTTCTTTAATTGAAGTAATCATATAAATTAGATCCTGCAACTCTTAAAAACTTACATTTTATATAACGTGGTTTATCATCGAGTGGCCCATATCATCGAGTGGCCCACTTTCACCTCAATTTACACTTTCAAACCTATATTATTCAACAATAATTGAATCAATTAATTGAAATTATTAAGAATCTAATAATCTAGAATCTATTATATTATTTTGACAGATTCTTATATTATATCCTGTCTTTCTATATTTACTATAACATCGATTAGAAAATACTTTCTTATTAAAATTCCCCTCTTTTTAATGTTTATTATATTAAATCTAAATATCAACCTTTTATTAAGATAATATATTAAAAGCCTCTTATTCAATAAACATTTCTCCTTAATATAATTGAGTTTTTTATATATATCAATACTTACTTAATATCTTATTTATTATTTGAAGTGTATAATTCTCTATACTTAAAAATATATTCTTATAAGCTAATCTCTTTATACTCTTAATTAGAGCTAGTATAGTTTCGAATATAAATGTAGGAAAGCTTGATTGATAACAAGTTATTTGAGATTTAATTAATATTGATTGAGAAAGAGCTTTTGTTGGGTTGTAAGGGGTTTGAGAGATTCATTGATCTAGATCGAAAGAGGAGGGGGTAAATATGCGAATTTGAATATCTAATTTCGAGAGTACAATTTCAGAATTAAATGGAATTAAACCTGTTTCTCGAAATCCTGATTTCATATTTTGAAAAATGATTGATTTCTTGTATATAATTTTAAAAACTATAAAGAATTTAACCTTCGAAATATAATTGATATATACCTTAATAAATTCATCAATCTGACTATTATATGAACATTTTAGATTACTAAAACAATTAATATCAAATAGTTGAATTAAATGATTTGAATATGATAATAAATGTAAATATATAATATTATTCTCTTTATAGTATATTTGAAAAGCTATTAATTCATAGCTTTTATATCCATCTAATATTAATATTTGATATTTGCTTTTTCTTCGATTCTTAATATACTTATCAAAGTGTTTCAATTATTCTAAACCCGTTTCATTATTCGTTTATTCATTAGATATAGGTTTAATAGCCTATTCTATAGAAAGATTTGTTTTGATGTACTAATTAAAGAAATGAATTTGTCCTTGAACTACTAGAAATAAGGGAATAATTTCATTCTTTTTATTTCTACATATTATTATTATAATTCATTCTCGATTACCTAATTGTACTATCTTACTTCTATTATTTCATTTAATATTAATTACTATTATTACTATATATATAATCTTCATTATAAAGCCTGTTTTATTAAAATTATAGAAATCTCTATTCAAAATATTATATTTTGCTCGCATATTCGTAAATAATCGAAACTATTCTTCAAAAAGCTTAGGATCTTTACAAAGAGCTCTTTGAAAGTTATAAATACAATTAAAATATATCTTTAATTTGATTCAACATTTTACAAATCGATATACTTAAAGCTTCCCAACATATTTCACATTCCTCAATTCGAGAATATCATTTATTATATCTTCCATATTCTTTAATTTAAATGGAAATCCTCTTAAATTCATATCGAATATATATTGAATAATCATTTCTTTTTCTAATTCTATAATCTTATAACAATTCGTTTGAGTTTCTGTATAAAGAGGTAAACCTTTTATTTTATATTGAAAAGTTGTACAAGGAATATTATAAAGTATAGTAGTCTTTCAAATGCTTAATTTTTTATTTTTATAAATAGCTTCGATAGTAAGGAGTATATAAGCTTCTTAATTATTCGAATTCATTATAGATTATTGATAAAACGTATGTTAAAAGAGATAGGTGTAAATTGAAATGAAAGTGGACCATTCGATGATATAGGCCACTCGATAATAAACCATGTTATAGTTAATTGTGTATTTATTGATGTAAAATAAAAGTTAGGTAATAGAGCGGGGGAAGCTTAACCACCTTCCCTTTATCGTTATCATTACATATCGCAGAATGACCTCACAATCTATACCTACATCTATCTCTACTCACAACTCGACTTTGATTTCAACGTGTTAACATCCCCTTTCTTCCACGTCTCTCCCAACAAAATACACACACAAACCCCGTGAGAAAAATGGCCTTCCCCGAACCAAAACTCCTCCGCGGCAACAATCCCTCCGACCTATCCCTTGCCAGCTCAACCTACTCCCTCACCACAGACCAAATCACCACTCTCCAATCGCGCAGCGCATCCGCAAAATCCACCGCCTACTGTCCGTATTCGAATTTCCGGGTCGGGGCTACGATTCTCACAAATGAGGGATCATATATCGATGGCGCGAATGTAGAAAATGCAGCGTATCCGGTGGGGACGTGTGCGGAGAGAGTGGCGTTTGGAAAGGCGGTTACGGAGGGTAAGAGAGGGTTTAGGGCGATTGGGGTCGCGACGGATATTAGTCCGCCGGCGAGTCCGTGTGGGATGTGTAGACAGTTGTGAGTTCGTTTGGTTTTTGTTTGCGTTTTTGTTTGCGTTTTTGGGGTTGGGGTTGGGAGTGGGTGCTGGGAGGGGTGTAGGGAGGGAATGAAGGGAGCTAGGAGCTCAGAACTGGGAGTTGAGAATAATGGGCTTGATGAGAGATACTGGAGTAAGAGAAATGCTAATTCTATGGGAAATATAGTATCCGTGAATTCTGCGAATTGGATATGCCAATTTTTATGTTTGACAAGAATGGGGATTTTATGGTTGCGAGGTTAGGAGAGGTATGTGCTATTTTTCTTTTTCTTTTTCTGTTTCTCCTCTTCTCCTCATACAACTTCTTACCTGGGATTTTGTCCGTGACCTAAAAGTTTGATTTGATTTGGATGAGGGGAAGTTTGTTTGGAGTAAAATGCTAATGCAAGTTGGTACATCTAGCTCTTACCATTATCTTTTGGACCAGAAGCACTACCACCAAGGGAAAAACTCGCTGAGATTGAGAGGTGATGTGATGAAATTATAACGAGTAGGATAATTTAGCTATGATAAGATTGGAAGTGCATGCAGTCAATGCAAGTACTAGTTGTACATAGCGTGAACACCATTTTGGCTACGAAATATTGTGAACTTATAGGCAAGTGAAGTAGGGACTTGGAAAAGGAACGGCCGGTCAGGTTGCATCATGATATGTTAGCATTTGCGGGGTATCCATTCACAAAGTATCTCCACTTCTTCAATTGCACTGTTTTTTGACCCGAAAATATCCTCTCAAGTATACTGTTTTTATCATCTTTCTGCGTATATTTACTCGATTCTTTTTTGTTGCAAGAAGTCTTGAATCATGATCCAAGGGTATCTCGGGAATCCGAAGTATCTTTCGGGGAATATGCAAGGTCATTGAGTATTCAGGGACTTGAATCCGTCTATCCAGCCACTTCGTGCGTTTGGAATCTTTCAAACAAAAGTTGTTGCAAACTTGGCTTTTTCAATCTCTCTCTTTTATATCTCACCTGAATTGGATTCATATTTAAATTCACAGCTGCACTCTAAAATCTTTGAAAGGGCCATATTGTTGGGTTATGTTACTATATTCCGTTCCATATGTCATATAGCTAAGTTACTGTGATGAACCGATCTTTCAACCTTAGGTGTGGCACTACTGGGCTTTCATTCCATCAGAGGAAGCGAAAATCTTCCACCAGTAGTCTACATTCAGTTGATGTAGATGGTTTTCCCTGGTACAGCAAGGAAAGACTCGATTCCTGTCCCAGCATTCTGACTTCTAGCGACTCTGGCGATTTGATTGTCGGACCTGTAATTCCAGGTATCGGATCCCCCGTTGGCTTTAAGAGGATACCAAAGCTCGCTCCCGCCCTTTTGAAAGTCGTTCCCGTCGTATGTGACACTGACGGAAATGTCAGAGGTGGAGTTGTTGGTTACGGTGATGGTGTTGGCACCCATTTTGTCTATGGAGATGTTAGTGGGGTTTTTTGGTTGATATGTGGTTTGTTGTAGCTTAGTTTGGAGATATGTGATGATGACTTGTTTCAAATTGGTCGGGAAGCTCGAAAGTTGATAACTGGAATTCGGATATAAGTTAAAACAACCGTCAAAGAAGGAAAGATCTTACCTAGCAATGGAAGTTGCAAAAGATTTGTAGAGTGGTGTTTGTTGTGAGGATTGTTTGAGTTTGAGAATTGAATTCGTTCAGAGGGATATTGAAGTTTATATAGCTCTGGATAGGTAAGAAAGTAGGCGTGGAAAATGATGATTCCCGCTTCAACATTACACCAAGTGATAGTCAGCACTTCTGCATTGTTGAGTCGATGTCAGGCCACGCTGTACACTTCTCTCAGCCAGCCACGAAGACATCTACAAGTTACAGATCAAGAACTTTGCATGTCGATGAAACCCTATTTCAACACCACGTAATGCAAACCACCCATTTCGCCATTTTTTTTACTTCAAAGAATCGCGATTTTGGCTTTGTGCAGTAGCACTCTCCAGAGATCATTCCCTCAAATTCTACCATTTCCATAAAATGACTCGCGTTTTTCCTTCAGCGGCATCGCGATGTTAAAGCTGATACCCATGCAATACTAATGATGCATAGCGTGATTGACATGGTGACACTAATGCAAGTGACTATGTGCCGATTTCCCCGCACGCTACTACTCTATTTTGAAAAGTTACGGAAGAGTTTACAACACTTTTATCCTATCGCTGCGCGTTCATGAAACATGTTGTTCTTTATTATGGTGTGAATGTTATGACTCGCTAGTAAGATTATCTGTGTACTTACCCTATTTATTCTGTTAACTTGCTATTGCGTCGGACCTTGGCTCTACGACATATATTCTTTAGATATTTTTCAGCTCTTGCACAAACGCCACGGTTTACTTTGTTGCTATAGTCCTAGATTGCGATAGTTGTGGGCACCAGTTAGAATGTGCATCTCGCGCGCTATCCCCCCTGTTTGTAACCGAGTAATTGATCGTTATGAGATTGCTACCCCTCTTTCTTGGAATGACGCATCTGCATTGCGAATATTTTCCATATCCATATACTGATACTACTTGAGGCTACAATGGAACTTTCATCTTACTCCGTGTAATCCTTGAGACTTGATACTTTATTGAAGATTTCATGAATTTCGTTTCTTGATCTCACATTCGTGCATGTTTTTCAACAACTGCGAGGCTTGCCACGTAAGAAGCGTTACATGTGGTTTCTGGAGCTTTAGGATAGAAGTTGTATTCTAAAGCGATAGTCAGTTCGGAATAGTGACTCCGATAGCTGAGGGTATGATATTGTCGACTTAGACGATGTCAGCACGATCTTTGAGTGACTCTAGAGAAAGAAGAATTTAGACGGACAACATCATCATTTTGGAGTTGCGGTGGTGTAACAGATGCATGAATCTGTCTTCGGGGTGCGTTGATATGACGGTTGCTCGGTATTTTCATCGTATTAGGGAAATTGACTTGCATAGATTTTGCAATTGTTATCGAAGCCAGTTAGAGCGATTGAACATGCCGCTTGGGCTGTATCAATGGTCTGAATCAGATGCATGAAAAGTGTTCCAAAAACAAGCTTGACTTTACAGATGATCAAGGGATATCCCTTCCTGTCTTATGATCAGTAAGATATGGAAACCTATTCAAGATAGTGACTTTCGCGTTGGACTTGGGACTATCTTCATTCTTCTTCAGTATGCCTTGGAATACGAACTTATAGCGCTCGAGTAGTTCATACAATATACCCTATATAAAAAAGTCTGATTAACCAGATTGATATTTTCAATACTTTTTCGATTACTCTATGTATAAAATATGTTTTTGATTCCAAATTTTACTTTCTTAAAATTATAAGATAAATGAAGATTCAAAATTACTATATATTATTATACTTAAAATTTTGAATTATAAATGTTGAAAAATGGATTTATATTAAAATTCAAATATAAGTATCTACTCAAATTCCGAAAATCCTAATAATATGATTGGTCAATAAGTTCCTATTAAGCAAAAGCGCCATAAGTTCACACTCTAGGGGATATAGGCTGGTGTTTCATTGTCATGTCTTCTGTCAGAGCTCGATAGAGACACAGGTATGAATCATATGAGTTTTCGGAGATTTTGGACATATGAGAAGTTGGATTTGATGATGCTAAGACGCAGTTCAGATTTGAGTGTCGAACAGCGGGGTGGTCTGAAAATGAAGGGAAATACTTCGTTGCTGGTATGGTAGTGTATTGGCAACTTGCGAATTGAGAAATCTGGCTAGCTTTCAAAAGAACTCGAACTTGGTGGTTGAACTTCCCGATCTGGAGAGGTTTTGACAATGCACAGAGAATCAAGCTGGAATGGTTAGATAGATCAGAAACACATCTATGATTCTCCTGGCTCAACTTGCCAAATCGGAGTGATGAAAGCTGCAAGAAACCTTGGATGTAAAGGAGCAGCAGAAAGGATCGCAATCGGGTAGAAGGGCATACGTCTTTTCAAAGAAACGGGAAATGATGAAGTGGATCTTTTAGCAAAGTAAGGAAACAAGACACCCTACCTTCATATTAAAATGGCCTTACCATGTTCCATATACTTTCAATTCAAATTAACTCGCATGTTGTATCTTACTACTCAACACATCAAGTCGAAATCACAGTATTTCTTCCTTCCCAGATATCGAAAACTACTCGGGGAATTGAGGCACAAAAATAATGATCAGTGGGGGACGATAAGAAAAGGGTCACTAATCCTTCCATTGAAGAAAAATCGGTTATGAATACTCTACACCGATTCTAGTCTTCCCCAAGCGATGGATGGAGAAATAAGAAGAGAATCTCTAGGATATCTTCGACAAAGATGTCAGAACTAGAAGAGAAGTTAAGAGAACACTTTTGGTGCCTCAACCCAGATGCACTTTAGATATATTCTTCATATTAAAGTAGTAACACGCTCTAATTTTCTCCTTTATGATAGATTTTCCTGTGCGGAATTGCCATTCAATGTATCTGTTACGAGCCCTGATATCATTGAATGGAGCGATGAACTCAACTGGTAATATGAAAGCAATCAATACAACAAAGCTAAATACCTCAAGCTAACATTTATAACGAAGCCAGTCGTACAGTCACCAACCCAACGAGTTTAGCACAATGAACTGCGCGACGAAGCTAGCTACGGCGGGGTAGTTTATTGGAACTTGACTAATTTATACGTTGGGGTGTATCATGACGCTAATTATGTGAAATATCAACGGGTGAAGCGGATGATGATGTTGAATCAAGGGCCAAGGGTTGGTGTTGTGATAGAATGGGTATTTAGACTGAGGGGTTTGTTTGAAGGGTGTGGTGAAGGATTGCTGGGATATATTGAGTTATTGGATTGATATGTTATAAATGTCGGTTCGGCTGACTGCGGCAATAAAGTTCAGTCCAACTGATATATTCTCGTCATTGTTGAGAGTAGAGTTCAGAAGGAGGAAGGAGTTAGTTCAGTGATGGTAGGGTGCAAGGAAACAATCCCTCTTAGTAGGTTGAGTGTTTTGTTGTAGCACTTTGGAAGTTTAATAGATTGCTTCTTCCGTTTACCACTTAGTACTTTTCGAAGTGATAGGTAGTACGAGGTTCAAATTCAAATCCACAAAAGTTCTACCAATTAAGTCTAGCGATTCATGCCGGGTTACACACGACTTTACATCCATTTACATTCTTCGCCGTCAACTTCCACTCACCCTACCAATCCTTATTATCCCGACTCTCCAACCCCTACACCTGTGCCATCTTCGCCACCGTGTACGCCGCCTCTACCAGCGCTTTTTGTTGACCAACACAAGCCCGTGGTCCTCCACCAAATGACATATATTCCCACGAAGTCGGTTTGAAATTGGGGAATTCCATCGATCTGGATTGAAAGATTCAACCTCGCTTCCGAAGATTTTCTCGTCACGATGGAGAGTATATTGGTTTGTGTAGATCGTTGTACCTTTAGGTGCGAAGATTGGAGATTCTCCGTTTTTGCCGCCTCCTCTCTAGGAGTATTGTATCGCGCAGAGCAATGCGGTTCATGATTGGGAATACGGGGTATAGGCGAAGAGCTAGAGAGCCGGTTCATCAGTACATTAGTCTCACTCTTAAATTTGATAGAATCAACCAACTTACATTCGCGCAGAATATTCTGAAAGAAAACGTGATCTCGTAGTAGATCAAATAATTGAGAAGACCCCTCAAGGTCTAGATACTGTACCTCATCTCGAAGTCTTTCATAAAGATCCGGATTACGCGACAGGAGAAACAACGAGTTACTGATCAAAACGTATGTGGTACCTTGCGCAGCCATCATTCCCTGAATAATGTTCTGACGAATCTCTATGCGATCATCAGTCTGCTTAGCCAGACCCTCTAGAAGACTCTTTTGCATCAGTAGATGTGAAATCTCTTGAATGGTGGGCTTTTTCTGTGTCTTTTCTAACGCTTTGTTAATGAATGCATTAATGTAGTCATAAACTTGCTTGTGAGCAACAGTTGTGAGTGATTTCGGGATGAGCAATTTAAAAGGGCCTATCAAAAACGAGAGTCCTGTTCCGATCATAGATGCGTTGAAAGCTTTAATGAAGTTTGTTGCTGTCTTCCTTTCATCTTCACTGCTGGTGTTTGGGGACATACCTATCAGAAATTTCAAGGTTGTTTCTAGATCGAATTTTATCAGTATCTCCTCCTTTTGATACCTCATTTGAAGTGCAAAACCTACGAGATTTGCACGCAAAGGTTGTAGATCAACAGTAGTACAACCATTGTCTGGAATATATCGAAGAAACTGCTCAACCGCAACTTTATATGCAGATAAACCCGAAATATTCGACTTGCTAAAACTTGGACGGAGGAGAGCTCTAGCTTTTTGCCATGTAACTCCATCTGTAGTGATGAATCCATGACCACAGAACGGCCCCATGACAGATAGTCTCGAGGGCTCATATCCTCAATCGTCATGATTTGTAGAGTAGACTGCTTGGATATTTTCCGTATCTATACTTCTCAGTGAGGAGGTACCAAAGTTGATGACTTCAAATTTCTTTCCACATTTTTTGCGAAAATTGGTAGAGAAAGTGATGCTTTGATGCGGTAGAGATTGTTGAATCTCTTGCAGCTTCAGATCAGTTCCAAATATTGGATCGGCGTGAGGATAAATGAATGGAATATCACAGTTGTATTGTCGTACGATTTCGGTTCTCGTGATTCGTCCATTGGTGATGGCATATAGTAGAAGAGCCGCAGCCCCCACAAATATGGATAGAATGATTTGAAACATTATAGAGAAGGGGTTAATCGACAACGACGACGGCGGCGATGGCGATGATAACAGCTATCAATTTCAGAGGAATAAAAAAAGAACCCCGTTTAGATCAATTTCCATTTAGATTTTTCTACTGGGAGATAACTAATCGTACTAATTCAACATTCAACATCTCATGCAGTTGATGCACGCATGTTGGTGGCACAATCACAATCGTCGCCTTTTGATTCTTGACCCGCTGACTGATCACCATAAAATCAGCAGTATGATTATGTTTTTATTGAGCTATCTATCTTGCCACATTAAAAACCACACTACAGGGTATGTCTATTGATAAGAGCGGTGACAAATGATGGATCTACCTCTTGATTCCTTCGCAGCATTTTACTTCGTATATTCCCTCTTATGTTATTCGAACAGATCATACTCTTTTCTCGCTCAACTGCTTGCATCAAGATTTCTTTAGAGAAACGATTCTATCATCCAGCATCTTTTCAAAAGTCCGCGTCAAATCGTCGCTGCTCCTCAACTTCCATTGACCACAAAGACTAGAGTCGCTTGACGCCGGCCATTCTCATAAATCAATAGCATCCTTTTAATAAGACATACTCAACTTACTAGCATGAAAGAATTCTACTAGCGCCAACAAGTTCTTGAAAAATAGCCGTCTCAGATCCCTGTTTGGACATGTCACCGTAGCTGATTTTGAAAGTAGACTCCAGATCCCTAATGAATCAGCACAGACGTCTTGCATATCGGTCAAAAAAAAGAGGAAATGTATGGGGTGATTGAGAATCCTCTACATCAAACTACAGTGTCATACAGCAATAATAAGATGTTATCCCGTCGCATCTTCATATATCGTATCTTCGAACTCCGGTCCTACATTCTCTCTTCATATCGTATGTTATCATGGATCCCATTCCAATTTTCAAAAGACTACTCAGTCTCCAAGCTTCATAACCTTTATGCGTGCCTCGAATGATGTCTAATACTGTATGCACAACTCAATCTTACATGAGATCTCGTATGAAATCTGACATAAGACCTTACATGCCATAATCAGACATACATCATTCCGCACTTGACATCTCTCACAGTCCCCATAATACCCAGATTATCTGCACCTCTTGCGCGTTTGCATTGTTGTCGCATTTAGATCCACACACAGTTTCCAAAAACAAGATAAACTCGCATAGAAACCCATCAGTTGCACAAAGCACTACACAGCGTGACACAAAACATAAGACTCGACCAATCCGAATCAACGGATAGTTGCACCCGCCCACAAAAATCATGCGCAAACGCGCGAGAAATGGGTTTGGACATTTTGACGGGTGTCACTGTACACTTACTGCAATGCTCCTTACATGGAGTGAAGTGAATGTAACACTGTAGATGGATTGGAGATTAGATTGCAGGAAGATGGATGGAGCTGGCAGGGCAATGAGACTTTGAAATCTAAGACATTCGTAGTATTTGCAACGTTTTTGTGGAATTGTGGATATAAATTCTGGTCTTTTTGTGGTAGGGAAACGGAAATCGGCATTGGTTTTTGGTCATCCGTACAATCCTGACTTAAAAACATTGATCAAAGTCAAAAATATATAAGTTCAACTGAAAGAATTTCGTCAAAGCAGATGAACTAGTCTGAAAGGACAAGATATCAAGTTTGATATCATGACATACCTAAGTCGGTACCCCGCAAACAAGATTTTGCGGGGGTTTCCACGTTGATAACTTATTGCAGATCTGGACATGGATAAAGATAACGTTGCATGCCTCGTAAGGCCTATTGTGCGCGGCCCCCACAAAGCTTGTGTTTCCCAAGAATCCTAGTGCCGTTATTTTACATGAAATTCATCTCTCCTCTCACCCCTGCCAACGCCAATTCCACATGGCTTCATGCATATACGGTAGATGGCTCGCTGCCGTCGATAATTTGCAATCTATCCAGTGACGACTAGGGAAGGGAATTTGCTTTTGATGAGCCAATCAGTATGTATGTTTCTTGCAATGAACCGTTGGATATGTCTATGATGTCCAAAACAGACAAAAGGCTTCCCTTAAAACGATTTGCGATCATGTAACGTCATACTGGTGATGTATCTCGTGGCTCAATCAAGATAATCACATTTGGGATACCCTATGAAAACCCGTTAAGATATCTCCATATAGGTATGATTCTTATTGTGTGGTCGATTGTCTCCAGAGAACTCAAGTACCAGATGATGTATATATTCGGTATGCCATATATTGCAACCAATCTGGTTCCTCGTTTCCTCTCATCCCTTCTGTCTATCATTTGCCGAACCTACCCCCACAGATCTGGCGTAGATACGAACATAGATATAGATATGGTGTCTCTCTCACCCTTTGTTTTATTGTCATCGTCTTTTTCATGTTCGGGATCTGGTTCCAAGAAACGCTCAAGAATCAAGTCAAGATTTCCATCGAGGATTGTAGGACGAACCTCATATACGATATACCGTGCAGAAAATACTTCTCGTGAACAACTTCTTATTCCTTCAGAGCATAATATCGTCGAACCTATTCAAAGTCATCAAGGACCGCGTCGATGCTCATTTGGCCAAATTCGGCACTTGTCGAATCACTCGAAAGGCACAAAGACTGAGGCAAATATTCTAAATAAGGAATTTGGAAGTTATTATCTGCTTGCAATAACATCCAGGCCTACTCCCTCAACGGAAAGAACACTACCAGAGAAAAAAAATTCGGGTAACAATGGCGTCAAAATTTCCACCTTCTGCTGACGGACCGTACAACGTCTTTGGAGAATCTTTTGAATCGGCAACAAAAAACATACAGGGCGAACGACGCAGATCATATGGCATTGGAGGAGCGGGGAATATTCGTAAGTAATCTTTATTTTTTCTCCTCTGCTTGGCGAAATGACACTTCAATAAATTAATCTAACAGTCATAAACGCATAGGCAAACCATCCGAGGTGATTTATACTCCACGAGAGAGACGTAGATCTGGTGCCTTCAGTAGTCCCTCGATTTCTCCATCCATCTCTCCCGCTACGAAGAAAGAAAACTTCTTGTCATGGCTTGGAATCGGAATCGGCAAAAAAGATGAGAAATAGTACTTGAAAGATGTGAGGGCTGTACGCTGGAAGAAAGGGATAACACGAAATTGATGATTGTGATGTATGATGATGACAATGATGAATATTGGTGAGAAGAACTAAGCCAGTAGAATGAGATTTGGGTTTCGGACACCGAATGAGAGAATGGGCAACGAGAATAGACCAAATGATAGCAGTGGTTTTCCCTACTTGAAGGTTTTATCAAACATGGAATTGATTATTTTGAGATGCAGAACGAAGATTTCTCTTGACATATCCTGGTGATCCTTAATATTTCGAAACCAACTTTGATCATGATTATAGAGCATAGGCCTTAGGATGATGATGGTAACGAAATGATTTGCTATGAGAAGGGCATCCGTCAATATCTGAAATATCTACATGCATGATTGTAGACATGGCAAGGCATATTCGTGCAATTGCATATATACGAATACGACAGATGTTGGTTTCCACTAGAAAGCCTGATCAACATAGCCTGAAGGTAGTTCAGCTCTTGATGGGGGATTGAGGATGCTTCATAGCAAAAGAGATGAAGATGAACTTGAAGGAAATGAAAGGAGATGCAGTGTTACAATTCTATACAGACAAATCTACATCGCACGTAACAAGTATATTGACTACCAAATCAATTGTTGCTTGATTTACATTCCCCGATTGTATGTGTGGACTTACCCACGTGACTCATTTTCCATCTCAGATTAGGTAAGCATTAGACATTCGGGTTTCAGTCCAGATCTTTGCCACGCGGGTCTGCTGCTGCCATACTGTCCGTGCCACCAACAACACTAGCACAGTACAGCCTTTCCACGATGCAATGCAATTGGTTGCTAATAAGGCGCAGGTAGGCTCGGTATGTGGATGTTCAAGTGAATCATTCGTTCAAGGTTCATCTATCCGAATTCGACCTCTTGAAGAAGAAACCGCCTCCATCTACCGACACTGTAATGCAAATATCTACTAACTAGGTAACTTAGTCTATTTCTATTTACCTTCATTTAAGTTCAGTTTGCTATCAGTCATTCTCAATCCATATAAATCACATCGGCAACGTCAAAATCCACAGCGGGAAGTATGTTTATACTTCCAAACATCATTTCCCAGTTCATTGTAAGTTATACGCAACGGCAAATGCTATTTTGCCACCACACTTCTTATCAGAGCTATCAGACTAGATCACTAACCTCAACTCTCCTCATAGTCTCAATATCATATCAGAACCTACACTTAAGATAACTTCTTCGGCTTGAGCATCTTCTGCTAGGCCGATCCTCACATCAATTACATGACCGAATCCCATACATCCCAGCCATGGGACCTGACTTGTGCCATCGAGCTTCATAATCTCCTTTCTACTTCGACTTTGAACAGCGATTTGCCATATTCTTACTATTTCCTACCCGAAAATGAGCCCTCCTCCACAGACAGAAGCGCACGTACCTTAGGTGATTTCACTCCAATATGGGATCACTTGGGTGTCGATGCTACGACAACTTGTCAAGATCCTGATGCTGAACCAAATGAGTCAGCACCATCTTCTTATACTTCTGAAGGGCTCTTTTCTGATCTTAATAGTCTGCCATCTTCTGCGACGGATGATTCAGATATTCCAGATATCTACCAAGACTATGTTACGAAAACAAGAACGGTACGATGGAAAGATAAGGCTCAAGGTACGAAAGTTCTGAAACTACAACAACGGGGGACACGAGCAAAGGCCAGGGAAGACTTGATATCCTTCCCGGAAGAGACGTCGATAAGGCAAATCTCTCAAACGAAAACAGACGTTAGATCTCCATTTCCTGCAGATCGTCTTTTCAATATCCAATTACCGAGACTACACAAACAGACACGGAGGCAGGTATTGTCTGATCCATGGACGGATGAGAATGAGAGTAGCGGACTTGAATCAGAGGTTGAAACACCTTCACGAACAAAATCTGCAAAACACTTCAGCAATGGTCCTGCTATCTTTGATACCCTTGAAGATAGGAATACGCTCCTCAAAAAGGGCGTCATATATCCTCTTCACGACCTGACTCGCGAAGAAAAGAGGATCAGGATAACTAAGAAACTATCTTATCAATTGAGGCTCGACAAAGCAGTCAGGTCTTCAAATAAGGAACCCATACACGTATTTGTTGATTGTAGCAACATTATAATTGGATTTCAGAACACTTTAAAAAGTGCACGACGATTTCCTGAGAGTGAAAAGATGGCCGAAAGTCCACCTTTCTCATATTGTTCACTAGCATCAATTCTGGAGAGGAACCGGACTGTCGCCAAAAGAATCTTGGTTGGATCCAGATCAACTAACAAAGAATCACCACCTCATTTTGACGAGGCTGAGATGTGTGGTTACGAAACCAATGTTTTGACTAGGGTGTATAAAAGAAGGGAGCACTCAACTGAAAAAGCGCGAGGAGGACTAGGAAATGGATACCTCACAGGACAATCGAGTAAACCTGAAACTCCCATCTCATCACAATCTACGAAATCTGGATTTGTCGAGCAGGGCGTCGATGAAATCTTACATATGAAAATGCTCGAAACTTTGGCCGATTACTCAATACCGTCAACCATTGTCTTGGCAACGGGAGATGGGGCCGAGGCTGAATACTCGGGAGGATTTTTCAAGAATGTGGAGAGAGCACTTGTGAAAGGATGGAACGTTGAATTGGTGGCTTGGAGCAGTGGTTTGAACCATGAATATAAAAAATGGTCGTTCCAAAATCGCTGGGGAAAACAATTTCGACTTATTATGTTGGATGATTTTAGCGAGGAGTTATTGGCGATTTACAAGAAGGTTGAAACGCCACTGACAACACTGGCGGAAGAGTAATCCAGGAAACTCGAGAAATCGACCTAGCGTGACCTCTTCTACCTCTCACATTCTTAGCAATAACATTGATGAAATTAGCGAATGTTTTTACGAAACCTCTATAGCGAAATAGAAATCATAGCAAGTAATGAAACTTTTTGTGCTACTCAAGAGGAAGTCGATGAGCAAATTTTGGTTACTTGAGCTATGCGGAATCTTGGCATACTTGGTTGTTGACACCCACCATGAGATACTCGATCATCATTTGATATGTTTGCACATTTTCGAATTTGCATCAGGCTGATATTAAGCTGTATGGAACTGGGGCTTCAGCTGAGTTATTTGCTGACTGTTATCCCATTCTAGGACCCCAACATGTAATATTTTAGATAAATCAGCCCTGGAACCGCCAATCTTCACACCGAGCAATATCAATGCACTGCCATGATTTTACTACATAATTCATCTCTTCTCTCGTTCTTTAGAGGTAAATATCCCAATTAGTTTTTGTTATAGCTCTCTGTAGTATACAATCATTCCTTTTGTTGCACCTTGTCTTTTGATACAGTACAAGACATCGATTTTAACCCGTCATACTCTCTCTTTTTCTCTCTATCCCACGAATGTTTACATTCATCTTCAATTTATTACTTCGGATTCTCAATCATTTCTTCAACATGCCGGGTAAATTTCAAAAAGTCGAGGAGATACTACATCATGAACAAAATCAGGCTCCACCACCCAAACGCTTTCCCATCGAATGGAATCATGGAGTTCTCAAGGCAGAACTTCTTGCTCACTCTATCTTCGCTGGGGAACATGATCATGATAAATTGAAAGAAGATTCCAATAAAGCTAAATTCGCTACGGGTACATATATCGGGACCAAGAAAGCAGTTTCAGAAGTTTACACTCTTGTCAACAAATCGTATGATTCCCCCCAAACCATAACACTGAGAGTCAAGTAACTGATCAATGATAGATTCGCCTCTTTCTTTGACGTTCATCAATTGGAATCTCATCTTCCTACTGCCCCCGTCTCCCTCGAAGAGAAAAGAGAACGCTTCCAATTCCAAACTCCCGGTTCGGACGGCTACCCCCCTCATCTAAGTCTTGAACCTAAAGTCGATTTTCTCCATTCTCTCAAAATCTTCCAACCAGAGCGACTCTTCGCCACAGCACCCATAGTGCAAAAAGTGATTCCTGAAAAATTTCTCGATTTCGCCTATGATGAACCAAATCAACGCACATTCGCTCTCATCGAGTCTGTCAATCAAAAACTCTTTGATGAAAGAAGAGATATTGGAAAACTAGCCAATATCGGAACGCGAAAAGATTGGTATAGTGATGAAGTGTATGCGCAACAACAATTCACGGGGGTAAATCCGGTGACGATCAAGAAAGCAGGGAAGGAATGGATTCAAAGATTCAAGGCAGCAGCTAGTGCGCAGGAGAAAAGAGATAGTTTGAGGGTGATTGAGGAGGCGGAGAGACAGGGAGGATTGTATGTGCAGGATTGTAGCTATTTTCGGAAGTTTGCGGGGGTACCACAGGGAGAGGATTTGAAGAGTGATGATGGGAAGAGGTTTGGGTGTGCGAGTGTTAGTCTTTTTCAGTGAGTGTTGAGATTTTTCCTTTTGATTTGCTTAGTTTTTACTTTTTGTTTCGTTTCGTTTGATTGCGTTGAGTTACGCTTTTACTTCTTCATCTCTTCACGGAGTATGTTGAGCACGAGTATGAGCGCAGCTGTAAGCTGTGTGTAAGCTTCATCCCATAAGCGCCGTCATTTGCATAATCAATCCTGATTTGACAAAGTACGATATGCATTCGTATCCCCTACGTACATAAGCTGGAAAGTCTTCAGCCCTGCAGTCAGCCCACGCCGCGCCGTTCCGCAAGGATGAAAAAAGTTACGTGGGGCTAACCGTCATCTCATCTTATGTCACACTAAATTCCGTACCGTCATTAAATCAAAAGCGTACTAACCCAAATAGTCTCCTCCCAAACGGTACTCTCCATCCCCTCGCCATAATCCTTGACTACCGCACCAATATCACCGATTCTCTCACTCTCTTTAACAACCGCACTTCCCCTTCCTCCCCCAAAACCCACGAAGCAACCGATTGGCCCTGGCGCTACGCAAAACAATGCGCCCAAGTATCCGACTGGCACGCCCACGAACTCGGTTCCCACCTCACGCACACCCACCTCATCGAAGAAGGAATCATCATTTCCTCGCACCGCACCCTCCCCGAAACCCACCCCATCTTTCAACTCCTCGCCCCCCACTGGCTCAAAACCCTCCCCCTCAACGCCGCCGCACGAGCAAGTCTCATCCCACAAGTCATCGTGCACATCGACGGGCTGCCCTCAGCAAGTAGTCTCCGCATGGTGTGCTCCCAATACGAAACCTTCGATTTCATCGGTGGCTATATCCCACACGATCTCGCCTCCCGCGGTTTTCCCCTCGCGGAACTCGACACCCCCAAATTTCACAATTATGCCTATGCGCGTAATATGAAACATATCTGGTTTATCCTCCGACGATTCGTGGCCGGAATGCTGCGCTCTTCATACCCTTCAGACTCCGCCGTTTCTTCAGACCAGCATCTGCAAAACTGGTGTCGCGAGATCCAAAGCGAAAGCGGAGCGAATATCTCTTCGTTCCCCACAATCACCACCTTTGATGACCTCACAGACGCACTCACAATGTGTATTCACATCGCCAGTACCCAACACACCGCTGTAAATTATCTCCAAGACTACTACCAAGCTTTCGTTCCGAACAAACCATCCGCGTTATTTTCTCCTCTCCCCTCCTCCCTCCATGAATTAGAATCCTACACCGAAAAAAACCTCATCGATTCCCTTCCCGTCCGCGAACCGCGCTCCTGGCTCCTCGCCTCGCATCTCCCATATCTACTGAGTAGTGTCGTCGCGGATGATCAGTCGCTACTCGAGTATGCGCTTAGCGTGCGCGGCGTAGCGGGGGAGAGTGATGGGACGGGGGAGAGGGAAGAGGTAGCGGGGAGGTTTTATGAGGAGTTGGTGGGGGTGGAGGGAGTGGTGAATCAGGTGGCCTTGGGGGTGGATGATAGGACGGTTTTGTATAGGGTGTTGGCGCCGGAGAGGACCGCAGTGAGTATTTTGATTTGAGTTGAGTTGGGTTAATTTGAGGGGTGGGGTGAGGTGGGGGAAGAGGTGGGAATTGAGGTTGGGAAAGGAATTGGGAAGGGAATTGGGATTGGATTGGATTGAGGTTTAATTGAGGTTGGATTGAGGTTGGGGGACTGCGGAGAAGAGAGCTTAGAGATATACTATGCTTTGTAACTGTTAAACTTTCCCGATATAGAACTTATAGATAGAATTTTCAATATGTAAATACTATTCTACCCAGTTACTCCTCACTCCTCATTCATTACTTATCACACTCCGCACACAAAATCAACATATATCTAGAAAAATTCCTAATACACAAGCACAAGCACAAACAATAACAAATCCCAAATAATAGTAATACTAATTCATTTCTGTACTTCCTAACTACTGTAAGCTAGCTATCAACTCCGCATACTAAACAACATCTGGTGTGTCTTCTTCGCTGACATTCCAGCTGCACCCTTATACTTGTCAAAAGTATGAATACCGATGGTATCTCTCACTGTTATTCGTCCTGAACTATCTGTCCCGTCCTGCCCACCAAATGACTCTTCAAACCGATGGTCGAAGACGATCATAAAACTCAACGCACTTTAAATCAAATTCACCCCTCGAAACGCAAAATAAACAAGCAAGCTAACAAAAGCAAGCTACCCAAAAAAGCCTCATCCCAGAAAAAAACGAACACAAAAAGCCTCAAAAACTCCCCCCGCTGCACCTTAGCATTAAACCATTCATTCATTTGCCCTCAACTCACGCTTCGCAAGGCAATCCCTTAATAAGGACTGTTGACCACACCATCCCTCCCCAACTTATATCTTCCACTGTTGCTACCACCAATTCTCGCACTATCTCTTCTACCATTGCTCCATCCAACTTTATGTGGCGTCATAATACTTTCTCTTGTTGGCTTCTTGAAGGTTTGCTTCGCTACCATATTGACTTCATTTGGTAATGCCACGATAACATTCTTATCACTACCGTATTTGAAATTATCGGCCTTGACTTCTTCAGCATAACGTTTAATACTATAAGTATCCTTGCTACCCCTCAAAAGCTTCTTCATATTCCACGTTACGATGAAAGGACCAGTAGCGGTAATGATGGATGTTTCGGTAAGCCCTTCTCCAGTATTGAAACGAGCTGGAGTGAAAGAAAGAGGAACACCAGTTTCATGTTGGAATTGGGCGACGTGAGCTGGTGTAAGACCAAGACGACGAGGTTGAGGTTTTGAGTCTTTACCGAATGATTTTTCGAATCCGAGTTTGCCTTCATTCTTACCATCTTTTTGAAGAGCATCAATGAGGAGAAGATAAGTACGACAAGTAGCCAAGACCCAACGACCATCGGCACTAACATCTAGACCAATGATAGGTTCACCAAGAGCTGGGATGTGAGTCTTTGCGTTGATGCCAAGACGATCAAACATACGGATGTCACCCTTGTTACTAGCGACAGCGATGTATCCTTTTTCTGTGGTAGCGGCAGCCGAGAAATCATTCTTAGACACATATTGTTTGAGTTCAGAATCGACAAGTTTGTTGCCTGCAAGACGAGGATCGATACGATAAAGAGCATTTCGAGAAAGACCAAGGAAAGTCTGCTCCCCTGTCATTTGAGCGAATTTGCTTTCGGGTGCAAAAGTGTTGACAGGAATATCATCATGAACTTTCCATTCATCAACAATCTTTCCATACTCCAAATCCATTCTATAAAGTGAATTTGGGTTATTTCCATCTTGAAGAATCATATTCGTATCCTCAGCGTGAAGCATAACTTTCTTTGGATTAAAGAGTTTGCCGTTTGGTGCTTGAACTTTTGAAATGTTGGTCGAGAATTCCAAATTGTTATTAGGTGTATGTTTGAAGACACCAATCTTAGATCCTCTAACAACAAATGATCGATCGTGTTTGTATCCAACCGCGAGTTGTGAATTGACATTTCCATCATCGTCTTTGGTGACAACATCATCTTCTTCCTCATCAGAGTCGTAATGTTCGCTTCTTTGTCCATCGTCTTGATCCTCCACTTCCTCCTCCTCTTCCTCTTCTTCCTCGTCGCCCTCGACAAAATCCGGAGCGTCCTCCATAGTAAGATCCTGGAATGCCTCGAGAACATATTCTCTCTCATCCTCCTTACTCTTGTTCCACTTGATTTCATTCAATTGTTCCCACAAAGCTTGCATCAAACCTTTCTGGAATCTTGTAACTGTCTCTTGATCCTTAAATCGAAGAAGCCATGAATATGCTTGATGATCGGGTGTATAGGCGTTGAAAATGAAGGAGAGGTATTCGAAATTGAAAACTGGATTAATATCCGCAATCACAGCTTGACCCAACCAGTCTCTATCCTTACTACTAAGTTGTAACCAATATTGCCAATTTCCAACCTCGGTAACAGTTGCTGTAACCTCATCATCTTGCTTCAAAAATGTTCCAGAAATGAAGTCGAATAAATGTAACTCGGCGGTTTCCTCTGCCAAGACAGAAATAGCCTCAGGATGTTTAGCAACAGCCGGTGCCTTTGTTGGGGTCTTTCCAACCGGTGATGGACTTCTAGGTGGCGCCCTTGATCCTCTTGTAACAGGACTCATAGTTTCCTTCAATGCAGAATTTGCCGTACTTCTAGTAACTGCCTGATCGATAGCTGGGAACGATTGTATAGGACTCAAACTTATAGGGCTTGTAGGTGGACTAGCATGCGGAATTGGGTCTTCCTCTTCGAAGGCAAATTGACTCAACTCCTCCTCGGTCGCGGTTAAATATTTTCTCCTGAATTTTCTCTCAAATTGACAATGAACAGCTGTAAGTTCGAATGATTGAACCTGACTGTTCTCTATCGAAACGTCGCAAACAAATTCGTATAGATCGCCCGCGTCACCGCTCAAATCTCTCCAAGCAAGGACTTTTTCACCGCCTTCGCGAATTTCCGATCGAAAATGTAAACTTTCGTCTAGGAGGAATGTTTTCTCGTCGCGTTCCCCAGTCAAAGCTGCAGTGCCGTCTTCGTCGTCCGCAGCCTCGTCGTCCAACAATTCTTCCTCGCCTTCTTCGTAGGCTCTTTGAATCACAAGTTGATATTGAAAATCTTGCCCTGTTCTTCTGATCCTCGCAGCAGCGTCACGGAATATAAGTTCGGAATATCCTTTGGGTGATAGTGGTCGGACAAGATAAAGTTGGCCTTGAGGTAGTTCGATCAAAGATTCTTTGGATGTATCACCAAAGATCAATTTACCGACTGTTGTATATGTTAGATGTTGTTGCGAAAGAAGTTGTAGATTTAGTTTGCGCTTTGCTTATAAAAAGCTTGAATGAAGATCGAATGAGGGGTAAAGTGGCGGGGCGGACTATTTGTTTACATACCATTCCTTAACATAAACATCCTGTCGTCTTCGTTGGCAATCAACAACGTGTATCTTTAAGCCCTATCCCTAAGCTCAAAAAAGATGATGTGCTAACTATCAAAAGAAGGTGGTAGTGAAATGTAAATCTCAAGGAGGAGGGGGAAAGTGTTTCTTATATTATTTTTTTAGTATTATGAGGCAAACAGAACATGATGGTTGTGATAGGCAACTCCAAGCCGTATAAGTTCACAGCCTCGCCTTGTAAGCGAGGATGTCTAAAATCTAAGGCCATTATTCTATCACTTGGTTGCATTCAGTGAGAACCTTGAAGTTGATATTCAAAGAAAAGTTTGGAATTTTATAGAACTGAAATCCTATTTTGTTTTTGACTCACTCTCACTCTCACTCTCACTCTCACTCTCACTCTCACCCTCAAAATTCATGTGTTTATTTATTATTTTTCCTAGGATTTTTTTCCCTGTGCAATCACTGGAAACTTGATTTTGAAATTTGAGATGAATGACGCTCCGCTGGCCCTCCGGGGGCCACTGCCGTGGAGGCAGATCAGCTAGAAAGAAAACGAAGTTTCATATCAAATGAGCATTGAGATGTGTCCAACCACTAGTATACATAGCGGTACTGAAGCTTTAAAATATTCTTAAAACTACGTATAAACAATACAATAGACATAAATCTTTCAACCCTTCCCAAATATGCTCTTACAATAACCTTGAAAAGCCCCGAATAACTACCTAGTAGATCCAGAGAAAAAGATACCTACCTACCCAAGACAATCCCCAATTCCTGCAAGATATAATATCTTCCCCCCTCTCCTCTACTCTGTAAAACCACAGTCAAGACAGAAACGTCATATTTGTTACGACTTACAACTTACACGATGGAGGCTCTGCTTCTGCTCAGATCCTCATCAAAGCAACGCCACAACCATATCATGGCTGTGCAAGAAATCCACCATTCCTAGTAAGTCGGGTACCCAACTGTTACGACGGCATCCAACATACTGCATCACATGATCAGGAAGTCACGGGATTAGGGACTCCCACTGGATCCCACTGCTCCCACCTAATAGAACATAATGGGATCAATAGGACAACAGAGAACGAAGATTTATATAAAGAAATGGGTTTTATTATAATATAGAGCTTTATACTTAAGAACAATTATTAGTTTCATTACTATAATTACGAGAATTGTAACCAATTACAATCTTATTGAAGTCCTACTTGAAGTCTAATCTAAACCATTTCAAGAGAACTCTAGACACTTTCACATGACCCTAGAGGCAGCTCCCGTAACATTGACTTTCTGACCACCCCTGTTTTGAGCCACCCTTTTACACCAAAAAGTTCTTTTTCAGCTTATCAATATCTCTATCAAAATATAATATAATTTATCGAAAATTTATATATATATAATTCAAATCATTTCAAGTCTTTACTGAAAATTTTAGATTTTGAGGATTTTTTTCAAGTAGAGATCTAAAGTTTTAAAATACTAATTTTTTAATTTATATAGGAATTATATAAAAATTTGAAACTAGTTTTAAATCTTTAATAACTTTTTAATTGTAATTGATAAAAAGAAATTAATTACTTTTTTCAGGCTTTTAAACTAGAATCTATATAGAAGATTAAAGAAACAAAAAAAAACTAATAGTTATAAAGATATAATTTAAGTAGGGAAAAATAACTTCTATAATTTCGAAAGTTCTTTTATAAATACTTATCAATTGATATTTTTTTTAATTCTTTTAAATTTTTTATATTATAAATAAATAAAATTTATGATAAAACTTTATAATTTATTTTTAGTAATTTTAGTTAAAAAGTTATTAAAGATTTTTTTTAAAAAAAAAGTAAAATTTGTATATAATTCTTATACAAATTAGAAAATTAACATTTTGAAACTTCAGATCTCCACTCACAAAAATCCTAAAAATCTGAAATTTTCAGAAAAAACTTAAAATGATTTGAATTATACATATTGAAATTTCCAATGAATTCTATTTGAAAATAAAAAAAGTTTTTTTGTCAATTTTAGTAACAAAAGGTAGCTCAAAACAAAGATAATCAGAAAATAGGACACTCGACTTACAGCCTCTTTTTTCTCCCACGTAGAGCCTGAGTACATGCACCGTAGAAACAAAAACACCTCCAATCACTCCCCACTCCCCTCGGAGCCGGAAAAACTATCTTCCCTCCCAAAATAATAATTACAATCAAGCTATCAAAGGATCTAGAAGATATCCCCCCCCTCAATCAACATCTTATATACCTCCCAACTTCCCCTCTCCCCCTCTCCCCCGCAAGCAAAACCCCCCAAAACCAAAACCAAGATGCCCCTCCAAAAAGCCCTCAAAGCCGCTTCCCACGCCTCGCGACAAATAACCGCCGTCGTCGTGTCCAGCGGCCTCATGGAAAAAACCGTAAAAGTAAGAATCGGAACACAAGTATGGAATCAGCATTTGCAAAAGGTATTTCTCTCTCCTCTCCCCCCATCCCCTTTTTTCCCCTTCCTCTTCTTTCTCCTCCCTCCCTCCCAAACCAACCCATCAAGCTAACTCCCCTCCCCTCCCCCCCAGAAATTCAACTCCAAAACCCACCTCTTAGTTCACGACCCCCGCTCCTCCCTCACAACCGGAGACATCATAACCATCACGCCCGGCCACCGCACCTCCAAAACCGTGCACCACGTCGTCTCATCCATCATCGCTCCCTTTGGCCGACCCATTTCCGAGCGACCGCCCATCCCCACGGCCGAAGAACGCATTGCGGAGCGCGAGCGCAAGTTAATGGCGAAGCATATTCGGAAGGGGAGTTGGAGTCGGTGGGGGTTTGAGCGGGATCCGAGGGGGATCGAGGGGAGCGAGTGGTTCGTCGAGGGCTTTGCTGAGGGGAAGAAGGGAAAGGAGGAGGAGGTCATTCAGGCAGAGGAAACGGCGAATGGGAATGGGGAGGAAGTAAGGCTTGTGTAGGTAGTGAAAAGGGAAATGGATGGGGATATAGGTGCATGTGCAAAATTTGGCGTTCAAGGTGTATCATATATTTGTGTATAGGAAGTGTATGAAGATGGGATTGTATCATAAATATCATGTATAAAGAATGACATGGGGAATGAACTCATCAAGTTATATTTCTATCGAGTACGTTAAGGTATGGTTGATAATGGCAATCAACCCAGCTTTTATCACCCAGGACTCCATGCTCATGACGCTGAACTCCCGATCCCGCCTATGCCCTCCAGCTATCAAGAACCTTTCCATGCACCTCCCAAATTCCTTAAACCCATGGACCCTATTGTATACCGAGCCCCAGATCCATCCAAAAGCGAAAATATTGATACACTAAGTCATATACATATACACACGGCATTCAATTATTGCCTTGAACTTGACCTTGACCTTAACCTCCACGTTCACCAAACTCCCTTGCCCAATCCTCAAATTCTTGTAGTCCTTGCTTGCTTACACTTGGTCTAATATTGACCAAACTAGCTTTAAAGTCTTCAATTTGCATTGGTCGAATATCATCCATAGTCATTTCCAAAAGCTTTTCCCCGAGAGACCGTAGAGGTCCCATGGCCGCATCTTTAGCTAATGCTGTAATATCAGATCCCGAAAATCCTATATATTGTTAGAAATCTTCAATAACGAGCTCAACAAAACTTACCATCGGTCAATTTGACCAACTCATCAATATCACTTTCTTTCAGCCCATGCTTTTGATGTCCCAATAAGGTATGTAATTGCTTGCCTCTCGTCTCATCCTCAGGTAAGGGAATGTACTGTCGTCTCACGAATCTTCTTCTTGCAGCTTCGTCAATTGCCCAAGGCAAGTTTGTTGCAGCAAGTACCAACACTCGACTAGCATCCCCCCTTTCCTTTTCCTTGTCTGTTTGTTCTCTACCAGCTGCAGCTCTTTGTAAATCACTCCACTGAATAAGAAACTCGGTCTTAATACGTCTTGTGGCTTCGTGCTCACCTCCAGATCGTGCAGAAAGAAGAGAATCAATCTCATCGACGAAAATGATACTTGGGGCCAGTGCTTTGGCAAGAGAAAACAATGCGCGGACCAGTTTTTCAGACTCACCCAAGAACTTGCTTGTCAAACTGCTAGCTGAGATGGAGAAAAAAGTAGACTTCGACTCGGTGGCGACCGCTCTTGCTAACATAGTTTTACCAGTACCTGGGGGGCCAAATAGGAGCATACCACGAGCTGGTTCGCGAAGGCCCATAAACAGATCTGGTCGTAGAAAAGGATAAACAACAGCTTCTTTAAGCGCATTCTTAGCAACATCCAAACCAGCAACATCCTCCCAGTGTACCTCATCACCTTGAACTACAATCTCATTAAAAATTTGTTTAGCAGCCCCTTCATCCACTCCTTTCGGCAAATTCTTCATGAGATGTTTGACTTTCTCCTCCCATGCACTCTTGACCCTATCCGTGGTAGAGTCATTGGACTCTTCAGATGTGGGAGTTGTAGGATCGACAAGTATTGGCGATACCACCTGCTTTTGCTTTCTTTTAGGCCGAGTTCGCAATTCTTCGCTACTGGTATCATCATTCGCACTCTGAGATGAAGTGTCATCTCCGTGTACTCGCCTCAGTTCCTTCCCTCGTGACTTTTTGCTATCATCTACACGCCTTGGTGAGGAAATGTTCGCAGATATAGGTTTTCTTTGTAAGCGATTTGCTGACGTTGAAAGTTCGGCATTTGAATCTACTCTGGGAGCGGGTCTCCTACGTTGAGGTACCGGTATGTTGTCTGGATTGCCTTTCTTGGCAATTGTATCAGGATACTCTTGGAGGTAGGTCGGGTATTTTAATGGTTCAAATTTCCCTGGTGTTCTTGAGTGAGGTGGAGGTGGTGGAGGGCCCTTCTTAAGCTGCGAGAACGTTGTAGCGGAAGATTCGGCTGGTCGTGGTTGTGACGATGGGCCGAAGTTAGGCTCAACGGCTTGCGGTATAAGTGGAGAATCCATTCCAATCATGTCATTCACGGTGGCGGTGGTGAGAGAATGTCCAGCAACAGCACCTGGTTGACCTGGATCCGTTGGAGGAAAAGGATATCCATTTGATTGACCTGTAGCTCCGACCAAATCGTTCAAGCCTGTCAATAAATCTGGTGGCGATTTCCGCGGCGGTCGTACGTCTGGTACTAGCGTTCTGGTTGTGCTATCAAATCGGACTGGAGTCGGAGGCACTGGCTTCCCTTTGAGTGAATCTGAAAAGCCGGGCTTCTCGCCCGGTAAATTCGTTGTGCTACTATCAGTCTCTGGATCTTGCAAACGGCCCAATTTGTCCTTATCTTTCCCCTTTCTGCTCATTGTATTCCATGCCAGGGTAGCAGCTTTATTCGTTATAGGATTCTCATCTTTCTTTCTGCTTGATCGAGAAGTCTTACTTTTCTTGGAATCGCCAGATCTTAATGTTTGAAGCATTGTTCTTCCTCCTTTTTCGGGACTAGGACTTCTTGATTCTTTCGACATTTTATGTTGTGGTGCAGGGAATGATGGATGAGATGTTGGAGCGGACGACCTAGACGATGCTGTTGGTAATGCAATCGAAGAACTTGACACACTTCTTCCACCGCCAACAACCGCCATCTCTGAGCTATTCTTTGGAGCCATCGAAGGTCTTTGAGGTAATGGGGGCGGGGTGGGTTTTGGCAGGCCATCATAATTGACCGCGGGAATTGTACCCTCCCCGATTGTATTACTCATACTTGTTGTAGCAGGACGTTGAGAATCCGAGGAAGCGCGCGAAGACTTCAAAAATGATTTGAGCCTTCCACTGCCACTGCCGCTGCTAGTTTCTCCTGGTGGTGTCTTTTCTCCATTGTTCTTCTCTTCCCGCGAGACTTTTAGCGCTTCTAATAGATCGACACGTTCTTTGCATTGCATTTCCATCGACCTCAGACTATCCTTCAAAGCCTTTTCCGTTTCTGATTTGGGGGTATAGCCTGCGGGAACTCGATACGCATTATGATAATAGATTTGATCGAGCGCCGACCGCCATGATCTTAGAGCTTCTGCCTCGTTACCCTGTGTAGAAATAAAGCCATTAGTACTTTCTCTTTCCAACGTCTTCATTCCCCGGATGAATATGCACGTCTTTACTAACCTGTCCTTCGAAATACACAGCCGTCGAACAAATCAAATAGCACTCATCGTATGTCTTTTGCAGCGATGAAGATTGCTTGCTTCGCATCATGACAGATTTTCTCGATCTTGCAATCGTTCATTAAAATTGGCGTTGATAACAATCGTACTAGACAGTATGTTATGAAGAATAATGGTACGGTTGTTGATATTATGACGTCTCGTGGGTGTTCTGGTCGTTCGCAATCGATAACTGATATGTCCGATGTAGAAGATTAAATCATGTGTTTTCCCTTTGCGGATAAGGGTAATAAGGCTCGAGGCTGTGACGTAGGTAAGATGCGGATGCTTGGGGCCGGGTATTCCAGATGCTTTTATTTATTATTGTTGTTGCGAGAATGATTAACTTGACTTTATTCCAATCGAAAACCCAGTTCATCTATTCCTTCTTACCCGACCAGTTTGACTCTCGAATGGACTCGAAAGACTGTGTATATCAAAAGTCGAGAAGTTATTCGCATCTGGTCGTGATTGTTGGTTGGTACTGTGCATCAAGATTGATTCACTGGTGTTCATGTAAGTAAGGTTACGAGGATCAATTTAGAGTTGCATTGAGTGGGCTCTCGTTGCCGATCTTACGGTATCCAACGATAGAGGGGCATGGACGGCGCTCCAAGAGAAGTTATCAGACTCTGTTTCTTCGGGTTTCTTCTACTCGAGGACGGACTTCATTCATAGACGCCAATAGCCTTATTCAACCTATCAATGAATCCCTTCAACAAATTCAAACCCTACCCTCATTCTTTCCCAGATTCATTCTCCACCATCTCCACGACAATGTTCATTCTTCGCACAAAGTACTGTACCGGGGCCATCAAAGCAAGCCTATATTTAGTTCACAGGGGTCCTCGGTACCGGTATAGAACGTGGAAGGATTACGAGCATCAACAGCGCGTCGACCTTACTCAAATAGGTGTAAAATACGTTACGCTCGTAAAATGCCGTTCTCGTATCATCATCGTTATGAAGGAATGTCCGGGTTCAATTCGTGATAACCAACCGCAGTCTTACTTCGTACTTTGACCTGACAGAAAATAAGGCATTACTGAGATGATTCTAGAACATCACATAGAAGGTAATCGGCTCGCAGTGTATCCACTTGAAGTCCAAAGCGGCCAATATAATCTACCTGGCAGACATTGCTTCCATTATGACAGAGCAAACATCCTCTCGGCGTCAAATCCAGTGTAAGCTTCTTCAACTTCGAAACAACTATGGGTATCGGATGCACAGAAGTCTGCTCGCACGAGGCATTAAAACTGTGATAAATCTTAGAAGGTAATTGGTTCGCAACTGAATATCACGACTATCTAGAAAGATTTATTATACGCAAGATTCTTGGCGAGCACTATCCCCAAAAACGCTTACCAGGTATAGAATCTGGAGATTGTTACAAGCTATGTGATCCCTATGATACCATTTTCTTTGACCATAGTCCCAGCCTTCTTCGTACATGTCTTTCTGAATCTCCTGCCCCAAGCTTCTATGGCATTTCCATCAATTTAGTCGATACATACTCAAGCTCGACGTTGGGCCGTCAAGAGGTCAGCGACTCGTTTACCCATTTGTTAGTGGCGAAATCTCAGAAGGGGGGGTGGCCTGGGGTACAAGCCATGTATACTGTGAGTACTGTGAAGTATACATCAAGATGGATAGAATGTCTGCCACTACTAGGTACACGTTGTTATGACAAGGCATTGCCTCTAACCAGCCAGCGGTGTATTGGAGCCGTCAATGATGTACGCTAATGGGCGGATGAAAAGATTCTTGTGGAGGCAGAAAAGACTAGAACTTTGATGTGGCTCCCTCTAATGTATTGATAGTAACAAAAAGACTTCACCACGCCCTTCGCGTATTCGCTCTGTTGAGTCCGTTTCAATCTACCATGATTCTCGTAGATTCGGTGCAGAACAAGGCCAATGGTCAATATTTTCATTGGCAGTGCAAATATGCCAACTTCACCCTAGATATTGGCAGGTCCGGTTCCATGAAAGGGATGTATGTTGATATGTATAGGAAGGTTTCGGACAACGTCCAAAGTAAGTGGTAAACTCACACTGCATCAATGCAGACTGTCCCCTGTGCAAGATAGCAATTTTCTTGCGTTCTTGAATATGTCAACTTGATACAGAACTCCAAAGACAATATAGGAATTTGAAACTTCACGCGAGTGAGTAAGGCAAGGCAAGTCAAGTCGAGGATGGTCAAATGAATATAATCTATTAGTCTAAGCTAAACACTCGATACGAAATAAATGCCGGATGTAACATCACACTGCTTTATGACTGATGGGGTATGGATGTGAATATTGTGTGTCACCTCAACCAAAGCACATCATGTATCTTCCCGCATACATACTTGGGACGAGATCCTGAGATGTCAAATTAAATTTGGAAGTCGACGATCTTGAGAGTTTGAGCACCTGGTGAAGGTCAGAATCTTCAGGAACCACAACGGACTCGACGAGAAGTTTAGTAGACAAGATTGACGTCTATAAACCGAGATATCTCTTATCTATCTCTTATTTTCTGGACTTTCTTGACCCCGAAGATGCGTGGTTCAAAGGTTTCGGCAACCTACGTTTGACCATGAATTTCCACGACGGGAAGGTGCATCTCTTCGTTTGAAGTTTATTTGGTACTTGAGATTGCACCACCCTCGGTTTTATTTCCATTCCATTTCAATGCAAAAGTCCAGTGCATACTTCACTTGATTGTCCAAGTTCTGAATTTGAACATGAAATAATTCTTCGACAGTAATTACGACTTACTGCCGCGCCGCCTTCTCTCCTTTGACATTTCAAGACTTACGTCCATTCGATTCTTTTTCGCCAAATCAATCTTTTTCAACCATCACAATGATACACATCCGCGCTTTTCCCTTCACTGTGCTCTGTATCAGCATTCTCCTCTTCATGGTCTTCCTCAATACATCCACGCCTGCCTACTTAACACACTATTCATCTGACCTTCTCCAAAAATATAGACCAGTTGGACCAGCTCATGGATCCTCCGATATTTCAAACAGCACACTTGGTTTTCAAAAGATTTTTGCAGTGGGCTTGCCGGAACGAAGTGATAAGAGAGATGCTCTCACTTTGATTAGTAGCTTGACAGGGTTTAACATCGAATGGGTAGATGGAGTGAAGGGGGAAGCAGTTTCTGATAAAGCTGTACCATATGGTGCTGATAGAGCGAACTTATGGGAGTCGAATTTGGGAAGTTGGAGGGGGCATATGAATGCTGTTCGGAGGTATGTCTTTGTTCATTGACGCTCACTTCTTTCTATATATTATAAAAGCTAACGCGCATTCTGCTCACTTAGAATCGTCGAACAGAATCTGACAAGCGCACTGATATTTGAAGATGACATGGACTGGGATACCCGTCTAAAATCTCAACTCCTTACCTTCGCAGCCGGTTCGAAATTTATTCAATATTCCTCCACTATACTCTCACATCTCGTTTCTCCCTATGGTGATGACTGGGATTTACTCTGGCTTGGTCATTGCGGCGAAGTATTCCCTGAAACTCTCGACGAATATAAATCGCTTTCTCCCTCCTCTCCCGAAATTTCACATCTCTCTCGCAAATATATCATAACTTCTGATACTACTGTCCCGCCTCCAATACATTTCAAAGGATTCCAAAATGCCACACAAAGCCCCTATACACGATGGGTTCACGTAAGTGGAGGCCCTATCTGTACTTTTGCATATGCGCTCAGTCAACAAGGCGCAAGAAAGGTATTATGGGATTTAAGCGTGGATAAATTATCAGGGCCATTTGATAATGCCTTAGCGGGACTTTGTAGATGGGGACGGGATTCAAAGAAATTGGGAATGAGATGTATAAGTGTCACACCGGGGCTTTTTCAACATCATAAAGCAAGAGGTTGGATAGGTGGAGATTCGGATATTCAGAAGGTGGGAAGTGCGAATGGGGAGGTGAGGGAAAAGGGGGTTACGGAAAATGTGGTTTGGAGTGCGAGGATGAATGTGAGGGAAATATTGATGGGGGAAAAGATTAGGGGGCAGTGGGATGATGAGGTGGATAAATAGATGAATGGACTGAAGGATGTAATGTGGAGAGAGTAAAATACTTAGGGTGCGTTCGGATCGATTTATTTCGGCTTATTTCAATTATTAGACCTTATTTATTTATCAAATAATGCTTATTAAGCTTAAATAAGAGGTTTATTGAATGCTTGAAGTTATGAAATAAATTATTAGGAATTATTGGATTTGTAATAATCTAAATAAATTAAAATGACAAATGCTTTCAAGATTACTATATATTAACTATAAAGTAGCTTTTTAAAACTTTATGAATAATTCTTCAATAAATCTTTATTATTATTTACTTCTATTATTTTTCAACATTATTCAACATTATTTAATATTATCTCAAATATATTAGCCTCAATACTCTTGTTATTTTAACAACATTATAAATTTCTCTAAATAAATAAGAAAACGAACCGAACGCACCCTTAGATATGAATATAGATTGGTCAAATGGATGTACTAATATTTGACTTTGTTTCTAATCCTTGATGAAAGAGATGAGTGTATGTTCGTACATATGTCATGAGTGAATATGAGGGTGAACTTGACATGGGATGAATCTCAATATTATAATGTATACTTCAATTTTGATATGTATCTAGAGCAGACTAAAAGAATAGAGAACTTGCTATAACCTAAACATCTTGCCTGTGTTTACTTACATACTGTATCAGATACCTTCTGTCTCACACGACAAAGGCCTTATCCTAAGACCGATCAGAAAACTTCTAGGCGACGAACAAATCAGTAATATATCCATCACCTCTATTCTCGTGCTCATCCTCGCTTCCTCCATTATCTATCTCATTCGTCGACCCTACTAATCTCACCTCACATCATCTTATTCCTCCACCTCCCCCTCCGACTCCCATCTCCCTTGGTATCTTGAGTTCCGCCTTCTCTCCAAGACTCTAATTCCCCTTTCTTCTCTGTGATTTCTTCGAATTTGTTGATATGAAAGCCTCTAGGTTAGGAGAGGGAAGTGGGGATTTTTGTCTGTATATGAAGATTGAAGGAATGAAAGAATGAAAGAGAGAGTGGAAGAAGGGATGGGAGTTGGTTGGATTATAATGTGATGTTAATAGATAATAGATAGTATATAAATCATACCGAATAATGTTGAGTAGCAACTGTAAAGCAGAGAGTATTCATTTTGAAATTCTGATCTGCCAAAAGGAATAGGGAGGAGGAGAAGGAGGAGAAGGAGGAGAAGGAGGAGAAGGAGGAGAAGGAGAGTATATAGTATATAGAGTGTAGGATGAAGGGGTCGAGGAATTGACACTGAGGTGAGGTGAGGAGTCTTTGGTTGTGTTGCGGGGTTGGGGGGTTGAGATTGGTTCTGATTCGGTACTGGTGTTGCGAGTGAAGTTGAAAGGTATATTTTTGAGTCATCAACTCATCTCATCTCTATATCTACCATTGCTCTTTCCGCATTCACATGATCATGTTTTCAAGCTTGCAAGAAAATCATCATGCCCCTTTTTCTGTGGAAGGATCCGTATGACATTGACATTAGGCTAGATACTAGGTTAGATTGTATGCTATATCGCTTATATATTGCGTTAATACCAGGCAATAGACAATTTGATGCATGATACTCTAGGAGGGAGGATTTCCTCTCTTCCCCTAGCGAAAAAAGGTGCAGGGGAGAAGAAAAAGAGAAGAAAAAGAATGATTCGACTTTTCCATTTGGATAACACAGGCTCTGAAAAAATATGTCTACTATATTGCGTTACTACGATACCATTTGTGATAATGATTTTGCGTGAGCGTATCATATAATTTAGAGAACTTCTGTACTGGGAAGGAGGAGGGTGTTAGTGTCTTCCTCTGTAATGAAGTTGTATTTCTGAATAGATTGCTACTAGTAATATTTTAATTGCATTGAAGGTTGTGAGAATACAATATAATATAGATGTTTTTAATGATTGAAATGTATTAACATAGTTTATTAATGAACAAGTCATATCAATAAATAGATCACCTCATTTTATATATAAAATTCGTTTGTACATAACCATGCATTTTCTTTATATAATAATATAATTTAAAGAAATTTGAAAATATTGAAATTTAATTATAGAAATATCATAAAAATCTAATTATTTATTAAAAATTTAAATTATTATAATAATTATAATAAAAATAACTTTTTTATAACGAAAATCATGACAATTTCTACTTTTTTTAGAATATAATAGAAATATTTATAAAAAAAACTAAATTTATAAAAAGCTAATTTTTTATTGTTATTGAAAATTCTTTTCTTTTTTCAAAATAGTAATTAGTTATTAAAATAAAAATATTAAAAAAGGTCTAATTTTGATGTATTTTCAAGTAATCTGTTCACTAATATAATCTACTTACTGATAAACTATATTAAGTAAAGTGAGTATATTAGGGGGTTTGAATGTATGAATTAGTTTGAGGGGATGAGATGATTTACTATGTAAGGCTTGTTGTATATTTAAGGGAGGTTGGAAGGATAGAGTTGTTTGAATAACGTAGTTTATTAGTGCGTGCACTATATCAGTATGTACATCATTCATTTTACATACAAAATTCGTTTATATGTAATCATGCACTTTCTTTATTTATAAATTAAAATTTCTGAAAATTTAATATAAAATATTTAATTATATATGAATTATAAAAATCTAATTAATTTTAAGAAAAATTTAATTTATAAAGTAGTTATTATAGAAATAACTATTTTGTAACGAAAATCGTAACAATTTTCACTTTTTCTAAGATTTAATAGGAATATTTATATAAAAACTAGATTTCTAAGAATCTATTTTCGTATAATTATTTAATATTCTTTTCTTTTCCTAAAATAATGATTAGTTATTAAAATAAGAATATTAAAAAAGGCCTAATTTTAGTGTATTTTGAAATGATGCACGTACTAATATAATGCACGCACTGATAAACTACGTTATATTAATTGAGGTTAGTATATTAAAGAGTTTAAATGTATGAGAGAATCTGAATAAATGAGATTGTTTGAATATATAACATAGTTTACAAGCTTTTTCTTGGTCCTTTAGGGTTAAAAATAACAACGGGCTTGTTGACATTCTTTATAATTGTTTTTCATATCTTTTAGGATTTATATCTATGTTTATACTGTGTAGCTTTATTAGATATTTAAATGGTTGAATAATGATTGAATAATTAATTATATTATTATTATTATCAAAATTAAAATATCAAGACTATAAATATACCTATAATTTCTAAAAAGAAAACTAAACTAATCTTATTTCATTTCATTCCGAACTCTTTCATTTTGATTCTACTTATATTCAATCAGATCTTCATATACTTATAAAGCATTAAAAAGAATCCTTCGAAATATTTACTAATTAATATGAATTTATTAATCTGGAGATTAATATTGTTAATAGTATATTCTTGTCAAATGATATGAATCTTATCAAGAAAAAGAAAAAAAAAGAATTAATGGAGAATGTTGATTCGAATATTAAATGTATAAAATTGCTTGTATATAAAGATAAAGACTTGATTTAATTTATTCATAAATGTATGGATATTAAATAATTAAAGATTATCTTTTCAAATAATTTTAAAAAGTATTAAAAGATTATAAAGTTGATTAATATAAGTAAACTTTATTAAAAAAGAATTAAGATTGAAATTGAGATTCTTTATTATTTAATAAATAATAATTATTCCTAAATAGTTACTAATATACTTGATATTATTAATTTTAATTTAAATAATAATAATAATATTAAAATAAATATATTTAATAATATATCTTTATATATAGCCTTAGATTATTTAATATAATCTTGATAAATGTAAAAAGAGGAAATCAAAACAATCTTATTATTGAAGTTAATAAGATAAATAGGAATATAAGTAAGAATTAAAGTCGAAGTTGAAGCTAGAATTAAAGCTAAGGTAGGAGTAGAAGTAGAAGTAGGAATAAAAATAATAGTATTATTATTATTATGATTATTATTATTGTTAATAATAAGATTATATATAATATATTTGATATAAGTTATAATAAAAATAATAATTTCTTATTTTATAATAAAAAAAGCTAAAGTAGGAAAAAGAGAGGTGATATTAGTAGAAGTAATAGTAATAATAGTATTATTTATAGGATTGATAATAGTAATAATAATAAACTTTAATATTCGAATTGATATTGATATAATAATAGGAATAGTGATAAATAAGGATTTTTATTTTGAAGTAAGGTTTGTAGTATATAAAGTTTTGTTTACTATTTTGAAATTAAGTAAGGTTTTGATAATATATAAAATTGATAATAAAATGAAAATGATAATAAATATAAATAATAAATAAAAAGAAAAAAAGTAGAAAAAGAAAGGGTAAATTGATATTGATATATAATATAATTGAATTTACTTTTTTAATTTTAATTATATAAAAGTTGATTTAAGAAATATCTATATATCACTAAAGATTTAATTAACTATAATCGAAATAAGCCGATTTTATATGATAATATTTTATTAAAAGCAATTTGAAAATATAATATTAATTATTAATACCTTATAATACCTTTAATCATATAGTATTAACTATCTTACTAAATTGATTATTATTATTTAATAATAATAATATATATAAATATTATAAGTTTTTACTTTTAATTATTATTTTATAAAACTAATTGTAATTAAAATATGAACTTTTTAAATCAACTTTGATATATATAAATCCCTGATCTTATAATTTGTTTATAATTATTATAAAATATAATTTAATAAGAAACTATTTGTATTTGAAAATGAGAAGTAATTTTCCTTCTTATATCTTAAATATAATATATAGAATATACCTTATAACATTATAAAACTTTTCTCCCAATAATATAATCTTTAATATATATTTCTTAATATTAATTATTATTATTCTAAAGTTATTATATAATCTATAACTTAATCAAATGTTGTATAAATATATTACAAGTATATTAATCTTAAGCTTTAATTTTACAAAAGAAAGTAATAATAGATCTAAAATTTATAAGTTTTTTTTATAGATTATTATCACCTATTAATAATATCAATTTCTTAAGCATTATCTTGAATATTATATGAAAATAATGTTAT